TAACTCTGGGAGTGAGGCGCTCGAAAGTGGGGCGCTGTATTCAAAGAGTTCCGCAATTTTTTCTCTTTTTGCTGATTTTTTTACTCGCGCGAAAGAAAAAGAAGGCCTGTCCTTATTCTAATATCTACTTATACCCCAATCAATGTGAGCAGAAAAAGGAAACTATGAGGTTATTAAATTAGTTTCCGAGAATTGTGTATGCAACAGTTTGGTTTGATAGGAAAGTGGTTTTGAACTGCTGAAATTCCTTCTTGAGCTGCTGAAATGCGCCTACTTCATGATGATAAAAGTCCATATTTTAACCTGCTTCAAAGTCTTTTCGTGACTTATTGAGTTCTGACTTATCGTGAATTTTTTTAAAGGCTGTCACGACGAATTTTCCCCAGCATTTTGCGAAAGATTCAGAAGATTTTGCTCAGCCCATGGTACTAATGGTTTCCTTATGAGAACCAAATGTTACCTATCTTGTGGCTGTGTGAGGTAATGTATGTCTCACTCTTCAGCCCACATACCCCTCTCCCACGATACGATTTCGCCGGGAAGAGACCTTGAACTACTTGGTTGCAATTGGTTGGTTAAATTTGCTGTCTTCGTTTTCTACTGGTTTGTTCCTTTTATTCAATACAGCCGGGCCAATCTGGAAAATTGTGATATCTTTCAATATGCAGGCTGAGGAGGTCAGCTTAATGTTAGCCTAATTTGCCCACCGTCTTTCGCTATCAACACAAAACTGTTTGTGATATGCTTTAGACTTTCAACGACATGCCCTGCTCACTGTGTGCAAAGCATCGATACCAATGCTAGCTCACATAAAGTTGAAGTCGTATATTTTATACCCTTTGCTGCCTTAATTACGATGAATTTCCAAATTTTCCCTCTTGAATGACTGGAGATTTTAAGAAGATACATACTTAAACTAAAACTATTTTTTCCTTTCTTGCAGATACGTCTAAAATGGACTCTAACTTTTTCTCCTAAGGGAGAGATACCTCTCCGAGATGCGATAACGATTGTTAATAAATGAAATAAAGAACGTTCCTTCTAAGTCAATACTTTCTGTGTCGATTGAAATTCAACATGTGTATGATCAACTGAATACATCGAGAGGCTCTCTATCAACAGTCGACAGTGAAGCTTAAAATTCATTTTTGGATACAGTCGAGATCATAGAACAAAATGTTTGAACTTAAATTTTTTCATTTCAGTCTTGAAGTTAAGTAGCATGTAATTCACCTTTTTAGTTTTAATCTAATTTTGTCGAATGACAGTCCAAAACATCCAGTCTTTTTTTTTTCGCATTGAGTGGCGGGGAAAACAGGTGAGACAACCGCCGAGGAATAGTTCTGCGCTTACTTCGGTCTCTTAGATGCCATGAAAGGAAAACGCCCGGAATTTTTTTTAGCTATTCCATATTTCCTTCAATTTCCATGGAGTTGAATTTCAGTAAAAGCAAATCAAATCAAATCAAAAGAAATAAAAATAGAAACAAAGAAAGAAAATCTCAAGAAGGTGTTACGTCGTTTCTAGGTATGCCCGCCCACCAGCTTCTCAAACATTGAAGAATCAGTCCTACAATTGTTGTTCTAATTTTTTTCATACAGTTACTTCATACTAGCTGCACAAAAATAGCTGCACAAATAGACTCTTTTAGGAGTCTACGAAAAGCCTGCAGTTGTTATCCCTAGAATAAACTCTCTCGTAAACATAGGAGTAATAATTTTTTAAATTTTCTCAGTTGTCTGCGCCTTTCCTAAGTTGTTTTCATTTCCACCCATGTTCGTAAATCTCATATACCGTACATCTCATATGCCGTACATCTCATATGCCGTACATCTCATATACCGTACATCTCATATGCCGTACATCTCATATGCCGTACATCTCATATGCGCCTTCTGTTTTGTCATTTATGATAATTTGGAATATGAAATGAAATTCGAGTCGAAAACAATTTTAACTTCTTACAAGTATGCAAATATATTGCTTTTCCTTTTCGCGGTTGCCAAATATAATCAAAATTATCTAAAATTTGTGGAAAAAGAAATACCCGGCGCATTTTATGATCTTAAATAAATGCCGGAATCGCCGGAGATGGTTAAAAGTTCCTTACTCATTATACGTAGTTCGTATTTTCGAATAATTGGATTTTTTGAGGTACATTGTGGCTGATAACGCAAGCGGTCTCATAGCGTTTGATGACGAATCTTTCTATAAAGAACCTCTCCATAATCACGAGACGGTTTGCCATCGGTAAAGAAGACTGTTTTTAAGCGCACTAGACACTGCTAACACTGTAGTGTTCAATTAAAACGATTAGTTTCTCTTCATGCAGTCACAGCGGCTCTCAATTGGAGATGGAGCTTCCAAATTGAACGGTGACTGTTTTATCGCAATTGCAGAATTTAGCTCCCTTGTTAATATAAGATGGTCACAATCATGGGTGCAAAGTAACTGGAACAAAAGATTAATCTAAAGTAGTAATCGCTCCCTGGTATTTCGAACTGCTGGATGTCGTCAGAGCAGAAACTGCGACCATCTCATCTTTCAGACAATTAATTTTGTTTTGCAGACTTTACATTTTTTTACAATTGATTTTTTTCAATAACCAAGAAGTTTCACTTCGCACTCGACATGAATAGGAAGGAAGAAAAAGAAGAGATTTCCAAATTTAGCTTTACACTCTCGTTTTTTCTTTTTCTCTTTTTTTACAAGCCGACCTGATCAATTAATAATCACATATGGTTTTCCTTGGGCGTCCCTCAGCGCACACTTAAAGCCAGCAGTATCAAAAAAAAAATTGTTTTTAGCCGCCCCCAAAGCTTTATAATATGCGCTTTTCATTTGACGGTAAAAGTTATCAGTAATATACACAGGAGGGGCGGAAACCTTTCAACTTTCAATTTTAAGTACGATGAGTAAACATTTGGAAATTTTCTTTCACTGGTGTGTTCAAATACTTGTTTAATTATTCTAGGAAGTTTCTCGATGGAGTAAGCTTTGGTTTAATAAGGATTTTGCATCGTTACGCTAAATACTTGAGTGAATACGAAACTTCAAATTGAAGATGGGTAAATGTCTAAAAACAAATTAATTTCCATCTCGAGATAACAATCGTCTTTTAATGATCTGGCTGCTAAATAGGTAATTGCTTTTTAATTCATGCTTTCCTTCGAAACTCGTAAAGAAAAGGAAAACCCTCTATTCACACGTTTAAGATACGATACTAGTCAATGCATCATTTCGGAAGTTTTTGGGCGGATGTAATCTCTCATTGACATTAGACCGTGGGAACAGTTACCTGTGAAATTGCATGTGTCAGATCCCTCAGTCCGTATGTTGCCCTTCAGGTAATGCATAAGCTCGATGCAAAGAAACAAAACTCAAGAAGACAAATGTTTTATCAGTGTGAAGTTAATGTGGGCCACACTTTAAACACAAAATTGTTTTAAAATCTGGTTTGGTATTAAGCAGACTGATGATCATTTCCAGTGTCAGAATTTTCATTTCAGCAACCGAAAGATTTGTAACTGAGGTGATTGTGATTTTATCACAGTGGCTGTTTTAGTCATTTTGGTTGTGATCTGGTGAATTCCGCAAACCGCTGCGACTCTGTGGGATTGGAACCGGTTTCAATAATGACTCCCACATTTTCCTTTACCACAGTGCCTTACCCCCATTAAACCAAGGTAGTTAGTTTAGGAAATTTTTATTTTATTTTGTCAGACTTCCAACAGCCTTTTAATCAGGGCAGTAAATAATCCAAGTTTTCTTTACCCTAAAGCTGTTTTCAGACAAAGACACATTTTGACAATTACAATTATTAATGCCGGGAGAAAAAGGCTTTAAAAGCTTTTTATTTCCAATTTACTCTTTTGAGTTCTAATTGCAGCTTAATTTCTTAGCGTTGACTTCACAATAAATGCAAACTCCCTTTCTGAAAAGTGTTGATTACTTCTCAATATATTCCCTTCCTAGTCTCTGCCTTTAAAGTGTGAAGCTTGCGAGGAAAAACGAGGTTTTGGCCTGAATTTGTGTTCTAATTAAAATAGATGGACTGAATCCTCTTATGGGTTGTTTTTTTTTTCCCCTATTTGAAGAATGCAATAGATCGACGAGGCCTGCAGATTCATTTATTCGTCAGATGGGTTAAACTGTTCGCCCACTCTTCGGCTTGTTAATTTGAAAACATCAATAAATATTTATTCGTTTGTATGATTCGCACGATATTTGCGGTCACAAATCGACGCAATCTTTAAAATAATATGAATTTGACAAGGATTGCTTGCGATTAACATCCATCTTGTTTCGGATACCAATATTCAATGAAACTCCACGTTGCGACATTGTTAACTACTGTTAATTTTTCTTTCTAAGCGCTTAATCTGCTTAAAATTTCATCAGAAGAAGAAAAACTTTAAGATTCCACAACAGTATTTCATTTTCTGTCTTATCAACGGCATCTTAAAGAAAATTGTTTCCGTCAGAGTTATTCAAGATAGGAGTTTGCTCATTTAAGGTCCACAGGAAAAGATGATAAATCAAGAGCAAGAAATGTAAATGCATTTTCTCTGTGTAATAGCTTAATTTTCGAGAGCCATCGCTAACAATGTAACTTCGAAAAACGTTCTTCAAAATAAAGTAAATTCTCTTTGTGTTTACTAGGAACCAAATTAAATATGTATGGAAATAATAAGAAAAATGTATATGGAATCTCCCGAGATAAGCATTTCGTATTATTATGAGAATTTGGTTTTTTCTTTTTTCTTTTATGGGTAGCACCGACTTGTTACAGCTGAGGTTTTAGTACAATCGCTCATAAATACGCTTACACCAGTTTTGAGAGAGAAAAGAATAACACAGGGATAATTGTACATTGAACAACGATCAAATTGGAACGAACCAGGTGGAGCTATCCTCGTGACGTGAACAATCGAAAACAAATTACATTGGCTAGTTCGCTGTTTGATATGATATTTTTATCGCTCCACAAAGCCGAACAACATCGAACAGTGGAGAGTTAACCGATATAAAATTTTGTTTGAGTTTTCCGAGTTTACAAGTGGTCAACGCCAGGTGAAAACATATATTTGATTAAACAAAAATATTTGTGTTATATATCACACAAGAACACTTCCTGACATTATCACTAAAGTCATCCGTCCATCAGAAGCAGAACTCGACGCAGAAGAAGACTTCCTCAAGTGGTGAGATGGCCTCCGTGAAAGTATTAGTTATACTCTTTGGGGCGTTGGTGGTGCTGATGGAATTCCAGAAGGCATCTGCGGCTACCTTGTTTGAGGATCTTGACGGTATGATAAGACAAAACAAATTTGATTCTATCCTGAAAGAAAGTTAATGATTATGAAGGGCAAAATTTCCATTTTGTGTGTAATGCGTTATTGACGGTTGCCCTAAAAAATAATACCTTTGTCGTATTATCCAGAATTTCAAGTATACAAACCACCGCATGCATAAGACCTAAATACCCATTACAAAAAACGGCCCTCTTGATTTGATTTGTTGCACTGCAATGACTCATGAGACCGACCATAAGGAGGCAGGACAAAAACTAGAAGCATGACTTGCGAAAGTAACCTTCAGGATCTCAAAGACGATTTCCTCTTTCATCACTTTCTTTTTCACACATTTAGATGATGATGACCTTCTAGATGACGGCGATGACTCCGATTTGGAAACGAATTCTGATACATCAAGTCTAAACGAGAACGATTCAGACGACGCAATCCCAGAAAAGCGGAGAGGTACGAACAAGAGCAAATGAAACTGTTTTGCTGGGGGATTTGGGGATACGAACAAAAACTATTGTGGGAATTCGCAAACGAAATTGCAGCTGTTGGGATTGGTACAAAGTAATACATTGGCAAAATTGTGGTTGCTTGTTGATGAAATTAAACTTTAATCTGTCTTCATATCGATGTCACATAAAAAGAATTTCTCTTGCCTTAGGTCAGTTTTTCTCAAATTGCTTTAGAATCGAATATAAAGCCTCTGGGTAATTGAAACGCATAAGTTTTCAGATTCCCAAAATAATGATGCGGTTTAAAACCCAACGTATAAATTCTTAACGTTCATGTTTCAAATAAGCATAATAATTCGTATGTATGAGAAAATGTCTTTCTATCCTTCAATTCCAGAGCTAGACAATCGTCTTGAAGGAATCCCAGCTTCCACATCTTAATGAAATTTCTTGCTTACTCTTGTCAATTTTTCTGCGGAAGCCGGACTGAGTAATCAATCACTTTTGAATTGAATGCGGTCTGAATGTGATTATGGCGTTTCTTTTTTTGCCGCAAATCATTTTGGTTTATGCTACAATGTAGATGAAAGCGACGGTATTTAACTATGCTTACAGTTGTTATGTCTTCTGGCTAATGGATAGCGATAAAGGATATACTGATTCAAAGAATCCTCCACAATAATAATTTGTTAGCTGAAAGTACATCAGCTTAACTTTGCCGCAATTGTGTTATCGCAATATGAGTCAGCAGCATTGATATCGCCATTATCACCTTCATCGTAATTATTTCATTCATGATATCTTTGTTTATCCCACAGCCTGCGCAGATTTACGCGGGAAGGCCTTTTGCCACCTCTTCAAAAGTTATTGCCATAAAAAAGGCATCAGAGGTCGGCTATTAAGACACAAGTGCTCTTATTCCTGTGGATGCCAAAGGGGTTGAGATGACGAGGTACAGTCTTAATTGTGGCATATACATTTATGCAGAGCTGACTATTTATTCATGAATAAATGCAGTACTAGAAAGGAACGTAAGAATTAATTAATGAATAAACAAACGAAAAAACCTGCGAACAGATGTGCACGCGGTAGCTTAAAAAAGGACGACTTCGAAAAGGAACTTTATGACACGGGAAGTCTTAAAAGGGAACTAGGAGTGTTTGGTTACGACAGTCGTCTCTGGCGGAGCATTGAGTGAACTCAGGAGAAATAATGGGAAATCCGTCCCATTATATTCTTTCAGTTAATTCTGTTCGGTAACAGAATGATTCCTTCTATTTTTCAGACACTAAAGACTAAGAAGAATATGTTACCCGAAAAAGTGATGATTCGAGATTTAAAGAGACAACAGTTATATATAGCTTGAAAATATTTCCGTAGTCTTCGACGGGTATCCTTTGAATTCTTCTGTTGTGAACATTGCCCTGACAATGCTGTAATAAACTATAATAACAAAATATGAAACGAGTACTTCTGGTGAGTTCTGTAGTAATGTTTGAATTCAGTAATGTGCGCAGTTGTCCTTTCGACGCAGTCTTTTGGAATCGTGCCTTCCTCCCAGAGTGCTTGAACAACTTTCTCTTTAATCTATTTCTTTAACTAATAACCAGCGAGCCACTGGAGTCAAACCAAGAGCCCTGAATGTTTGTCGTTCGTTCCCATAGTCTTCTTTTAAAATTCAAAATTTTAGACGCTGACGTTTTGATTGTCTGATTATAGCTGGAGAAAATTTGCGCTTAAGCAATCAAGTGATTGAAGGAGACTGCTCCAAACAAGGACCTTTAGACAACGTGCCAGAAAATGGATGTCAGATGGGAGAACTTAGGCCTCATTTGGAACCCCTTGGGAATTTTATTTCCTTGACAAACCCGGACATTGTCGCTTTCAATTAAACATTTTCAACTTGATAGAGATCAGAAATTTCCATCCAAACGGTGGAACGAAAACCCAGGTTCAAAAAGGACCTGGTTAATTATGACTTTTGTATCAACAAAAATTTGATCGACTTGCGTTCGGCACTCAATTTTTTCGGCTTTCGGGTCAAAGAGATTGGATTTGGCCCAAACCTTCTACAGGATGACAATGCATGTTTAAATAAAAACATCTTCCAGCAGGTTAAGTTGTCACATTACGTTTAAATTTTCCCTAACGTCAAGTAAGTCGTATTCAGGACCCCATGAACGTAGAACATAACATCACCACATAGCAAGAGATTATATGGTAGTTGCTATAGTTATGTTTTTTGTTTGTTTGTTTGCTTGTTTGCAAAGGCCTGAAACAGTTGGACAGTTTTCAAGGCTAGTGTTCTCTTTGTTTCTTCTACAATCATTACGAATCTAAATCAGCTTGACAAGCAGTTTGTTTAATGAAAAAAGAAAATGAAGTTTAGTCATCAGCACCCTTTATTAGTTTCATCGCATTTATTTGCGTTTCTGTTTACGTATCACTGAATCCGAATATCAGGACTGAGCAATAATATGACCAGTTATGAGGTGAGTAAGTGGTGTCCGGCAAAGTTTTATTTAAGCAATAGAGCAAATTTCTCTGGGCTCGATAACTTGATAAAGCCGCTTTGGATGTTGGGGGAACACGAGGAAAGCTTATAAATCCCAAACCTTCGGCCTTGTGTTCTACCAACATCCCATGTGGCTTTATCACGTTATAGAGCCCGGAAAAAAGTGCGTTCTGTTGCTTTTATGACATAACTAGTTACATGCGGGCTCTATAACCTGATAAAGCATCCTCTTGGAAACTGAATTGCCCATTATGACGATGCGTACTTTGCTCATTGATATAAAATCAAATATTTTATGTATCTTGTCCTTGATTATGTTTTAAATAGGCGTGGTAAAGTATCAGTAACACACGTTTGAAACTAGGGCATGAGTATCCTCATATCTCGATTTACTAGGCAAATTTTTTTTTTAATCCAAACCAAAGACAATACATTTCTTATTGGATACGATTCTGCAATTCATGGATCTGGTGGGATTTTTAATTTTATGCTGGTCAATTTTTGCTGATTTAAGCCCGCTAACACCATTTGTGCATTATTTGATATAACAGCAGTTTTAATTAGCTAACGTTTCCATGGAAATACACACCAGTGATACATACTCAATAAAACATAATTTTTTCCCCGAACTTTGTCATCAGCTACAAGCTCGCGAATGTAAAAGAATCATGGTTTTTCGTTATAAAGTAAAAGGCTTGCGAAAAATTTGCGTCGTTTTACGAAGGATGTTGGTTAACACAAAATGGACGTGATATTTTGGTTTAATCACCTGCCTTTTTATTTTCAGACAATACAGTAAACGAGCGCAAAAAGTTTTCCGGTCTTTTCCTAAATTGCAAGTCTGATCCCAGGCTCATCATAATAGTTTCCATTATAGTCCTCAGCCACGTGCAAAGAACTATGATTACTTTTGAAAAAATGCAGATGGCTCATGATAATATCAGAGCAGTCTGATTGCCTTTATACCTCTGCCTAAAGCGCACGAAGTATATTGTGGACAGCCTCTGTCTCCTTTAAGCGTACACATTTTTTGTTTGTTTATTGTATTTTTTTCTGGAACACTCCGAGGGCGTAAATTTAGACTTCTCTAGATTTTCCGATCAATTCGAGAATTGGTGGAGAATGCTTAATTATCTTCACAGATTGAAGGTCTCGCAGCTACCGGCATAATTCAAGTTAATAAAAGGTAACAGGACTTGGTTTAAAATGAACCAGAAGGTTGTAATTGTTCAATTGTTTAATGAAATTGGAGTATCGGCTGCGTACACGAAAAGCTGTCAAATTGTAATCCGAATTTCCTAGAAAAGATGCAGGAGTTGGTCAGTACTCAAATGAATATCATTTCCATAGCCTAACGATCTTCAAGGCAGTTCTGCCAAAAATTCGGAAATGTTGCAATTTATAAAACCTATCGTAAGGTAGTTTAAATTAAGGGTTCGCGGGAGAAATAAACCGAGTCCATTGAGCTCAAGACAAGCCACATTTCCACTTTTTTCTTTTTTTTTTTTTTTTTGCACATTTTTGAATGTGCAGATAATTTACCAAAAAAAAGGGGAAAAAATTGAAAAGACCGTTTTTACCACCGTCTGGAAATTGTAAGAGTTGTCGTAATATATGACTTTGTAATTAACCTCACATTAAGCCGCTTCCGAAACTGGAAACTCCTTCAGGTGTTGGATGAAGATTAAAGGTAAAACTGTGCTGTGACTTGAATTCGTGTCTTCAAAAGAAAATTTGACAAAATTCGGTTCACTTAGTTTGTCTTTTGAAGCTCAGTGTCTCACAATGATTGTCATTGTAACTAGAGACCACAACAGTTTACCATTATGTCAACAACGTTCTGGATAAGTAATCCTGTGTTCTGTACGGTTTCAAATATGGGAAAGACGTTTGCAGCGAAATTATCTTTTTATCATTAGAATCTAATCAGCTGCCTTTGATGGGTATTAGTTTCAAGTTGATTACTGGAAAAAGTTAAAATTAACTTTCTTTCATAAATCATTGCTTCAAGGGTTTGTTCACCTCTGGTCGCGAATAATTTTCACTGGCATTCAAGAATAAAAAGCAGACGCAAAAATGATTCTATAAAACTGGAAAACGAAACTTGCCGGCACTCCTTTTCATCATGAGATAATCATGATATTCCTCACAGTACAACTGAATTAGCACTTCTCACCTTGAAATAAATCTATCTAATTAATCTCGAGACAAAACCGCTAATCTAGGGCGTTATGTTTTAATCGTTGTCCTTCCTGAGAAAAACTGCGGGTGTCAACATGTGGACTAGTCCGTAAAGTATAAAGTCACAGGCTGATATTTCCTTGAATAACAGTTTGTCTTTGGCGGTGCAAATTGAAGATCTTCTCGCTAGAGCTCTTAAGGAAAAATGATCTCCAAGAAGTTATTCCTTGTGCTTCTGGCTGCAGTAATGACGATTCAGTACTCACAGGCTCGTAGCAGCTCACTTCTTGACGAGTTGGGTAGGTCTCCACAATCCTGTAACAAAATCGTTTTCATACCCCAAACGACGATTGACATTAAATTAAGACAAGTTTCTTTCGAAACCCTAGACAGGATTTTAGTAACCGGTAATGACCTCAAGCGATTCAAAATTAGGAATGATGGTATTTTTTTCTACAACGTATGAATCTTGACTCGTTAGAAGACACCTTGACTGGGTGTGCCATGCGTGTCCAATTCTATCATGAGAATCTATCATGGCTCAACACATTTGATAGCATAGGCACAAATTTGTCAGTCGAGCAAATGCTGATTCCAAATTTTCCTTAACCTGCCATCAATATCAGTATCATTTGCATCACGCCTACAATACTCGAAGTTGTAGCAAACGTAAGTACCTTCTGTACAGTAGATGTTGTTACCATCTGCATTGGAGGTAGTGCACTACTAACAATTTATCAAAAAGAAAACTGAATTATTCACAAGCAGTCCCGTCAGTTCCCATGTATATCTAAAATGGGTGTTTTTAATTCCAAGAAGCAAGCTTTTGTTGAATTTGATATCTCTTTATATATCTAAAATCTCTTCTTTGATCATGTCTTCCCAGCCGTTACTCTTAGACGTTCTTGTGAATTTTTTGCATGGCTTTAGGATGTTTCACCTGTCGAATGAATACAGTTTACATTGCTTTACAAAGAACAGCGTTAATTGTAATGTGACTTGTAAAACTTTTGCTTCGCTTTGTACGGTTTCCTAAAGATTTACGATGTCCACAATGTTCACTTAATAAAAGATATTATATATACAAGGCTAAAAAGATTAAGAAAAATTATTAAAATGTTAAAACCAAACGTTTGCGGCTGTTTGCCATTATCAGGGTTGAAAGTTTTGACCGTCTGTACATACATATATATCTTATGTGATTCCCGATTGGAAAAGTTTGGAGACATAAGAAATGACTTGTTTGTTCAAACTGAGGCGGAATTATTGGATCATTAGCCCCTCGACGATCCTACGCTTGTGGAATGTTTCTGCTGAGGAGAGAACACGCCAAGTGAAAGAATGTGATGGATTTTCCCGCAAGTGTTTTGCAGGTTCAGAGGTGTGAGTAGGATTTGAATGCTCCGCAATACGTACTGCTAGATTTCTCACAGTTGCGCCTTTTTACGAGTTAAATACATACCAAAACTGTAAATACCCTGTTGGCCGTATAGACACTTTAATTCTTGGAAATAAGCCGCTATATCTTGAAGATGGTTTATAAACATAGGGCTTCATATCTACTTGAAATTGAATAGGCTGATATTCACTAGCTATCTTATGATACCCTACGATTCGATTTCAGTTCTTGCCAATAATGTCTCTGTTCAACTTACGCGTTGGTAAAAATAGAAAGAAAAGTAGAAGCCGCCATTCCCGAAATTTGTGGAACTGACCGGAGAGAGTTTGGAAATAAACCAAAATTGAAGAATAGGATATTAGCAAAAAT